TTATACCTGAGACTTTGTACCCCTTTACTAACATCTCTTTATTCCTGGCGCCCTGGAAACTACCATTCTACTCTCTAATTTTATGATTTGGCTGTTTTAGATTCCACATATAAGTGAGAACATGCAGTATTTGGCTTTCTCTGGCTGGCTTATTTTACTTAGCATAATGCCCTCAAGGCCTATCCATGCTGTTGCTAAAGGCCAGATTTCCTTCTTTCTCATGACTGAATAATATTTATATATATTATATATCAGATCTTCTTTACCTTATCCATTCATCTGGTGACAGACAGGATGTTTCTATTGTGAAAAATGCTACAGTGAACATGGGAGTGCAGATATCTCTTCCAGATAGTGTTTTCATTTCCTTTGGATAAATACTCAGTAGTGGGATTGTCCTATTTTTAAAATTTTGAGAAACCTCCGTACTGTTTTCCAAATTAGTTGTACCAATTCACATTCCTACCAACAGTGCACCAGAGTTTCCTTTTCTCCACATCCTCACCAGCATTCATTATCTCTTGTCTTTTTGATAACAGCCATTTTAACAAGTGAAGGTGATATCTCATTGTGGTTTAGATTTGCATTTTGCTGATAATTAATGATGTCGGTTATTGAATTTGATGTTATCAATTTGTAGTTAGGGAACATACTCTGAAAGTTTTTACTCATTTAACACTTGTGGGATTTTTTTTTAGCCTTACATATGGTCAATTCTGGTAAAAAAAAAAAAAGTTTATGGGTACTTGAAAAGTATATAAATTATTCCATTGTTGGATACATCAAGTTTGTTAATTGTATTGTTCAGATTTTCTTTGTCTTTATTGATTTTGGGTCCATGTGCATTATGAGCTCTTAAGTTATATGTTTTAAAGGCTTTCATATGACTATAGATTTGCCTTTTCTCTTTACAAGAAAAGAGAAAAGGGTGGTGGGGGTGGGGTGGGAGAGAAGGCAGCTAAGCTCAGTACATGCATACCCAAGGCCAGAGGCACTACAAAAAAGTGGGTAAAGGTGTAAGAGATTTAAGAGCTTAGAGAACATAGTCTCATGGGGCCAGCACATTTCATAAGATTGAAATATGGAACAATTTCCTGAAAAAAGGAGCATGGATAGGATTTATACACGAGAAACCCATGGTTTGTAACATTAAAAAATGAGACAGTGCAGGCACTGTAGTCTAGGAACCCCAACACAATGGGGAGGAACAGTAAGAAGAAAGAAAGGAGGAGATTGAGGTCCAGGGGTTGGCAAAACCCACAAAATCCTTACATTCAAACTGATTCTATAATCCTATAACCCAGTAGCCAAATTTAGGTTAATATCTAGCATAACCTTGTTAAAAACTATTAATGTTACGTTTTGCACAATATACTCCCAAGATCCAGGGACATTTCTCTGACACATCTACCTCCCAGTAATGCTTCCCTGATGGAATAAACGGCGAGCCCAGGACATTACAATCCTTGTTGTCTTCCCGAGAAGTGAATGGCTCCTACACAATGGTCTTCCAACCTAACACTCTCACTTGTCTCCGATTCACAGAAACCATCATCTGGATTATTCTTGGGAAGGTTCACGGTAATACAACTCTCACATCAGGAAATCTGGAGAGAGTGTCTGGCTTCTTCAGAGTGAAGCTCTTAATCCTTTTTATGATGCCGTTCACATTCTGCAGCATCGCTACTGTTGACCCCTGCAACGGATGCTCCGGATCTGAGATGAGATCCCGCAACAACTGCCTGTGATGGAACAGCACGCTCTCAGCCCGAGCAGGTCAGAGAGATCACCCCCCTCCTCTTTCTCCAGCTTTTGCAGCTCCGTCTGTTCCTCACGATCGTGGATTTCTCTGTTGTTTAAGATCATCCTGGACATATTTTCTCTTTCAGGAAGTTGTCTCTTCTTTGAGGTCAGCTATCAGTTTCTCAGTTTCCTTCTGCTCTGCCCTCAACGTATCCAGAGCCTCTGGAGCTCATGCTGGCACAACTGGGCAATGTCCTCCTCGAGGCATCTGTGGTGACCACGGTGCTCTCGAGACGGCTCACGAAGCCAGCACATGACCTTCCCATGGTCCTCGCAGCAGAGCTGGAGTTTCTCTCCGTGATGCTCACAGAGACATCTCCTCTTGTGAGCTCAACTTGACCTCCCTAAGCGCCTCCACGATGTTGGCCCCAGGTCGATCGAGACAAAGGTTCTCAGGCTGGTAACTGGTCCGGCACACAGGGCAGCTACTTCCTTCTTGGCTGATCATGGACTCTGTTGTTTGCAGTGATGCAGGCTTGGCAAAAGCTGTGCCCACATCCCAGGATCATGGTGGTGTTTTTTGTTTGTTTGTTTGTTTGTTTGTTTTTCGGAGATCCAAGCAGATGGGGCAGGTCACCTCCTTCTTTATGTTCACCAGGATTCCCAAGCCATCGCAGCTGCTCTCCTGCTCCTTCCTACCTGTTCTGATATGAGGCTCCTCTTGCTCACTGATCTCTGCTTATTCTGGAGTTTCAGCATGAGGAGCAGACGTGGTGAATCCTTGCCTGAGGTCCTCAAAGAGGATCTTCTATAATTATACTTTTATTTCTATAAGTTTTGTCCCCAAATTTCCTATTTCTTTCTGACAGTCTCTTATTGCTATTCTCTGAAATTACATTATTTATTTTTTTAAAAGTAGTTCATACAAAGCTCTTATATCTACAGATATTCTTATCTGTCAGTTTTAGTATTGGCAACCCATGTGAAGTCCATGTTTGCTGCTTGTTTATGTTTGTTTTGCCTTGCTAACTATCGTTCATAGTTTATTTCTATGTTTGATGCTATTTCATTTTAAGGTCATTAATTCATGGTAGTCATGCCAATATAAATTGGAAAAGTTCTTTTTTCTAAAGCTCAGTTTATTTATTTTAAAAATGAAGTTAATAATAGTACCTATTTTAAAGGTTTGTTGTGATGTTGAAATGAGATAATAACCATAAAGTGCTTAGCACAGTGCTGGGAACATAATAAAGGCTTAATAAATGTTATATTTATTTGTTAAATTTCAAATTTTGGACAATATTTGATTTAAGTGATTGTTTCTGCTTACTTAATTAGAATGTAAATTACATGAATCACACAAGCTTTGAGTTTCTGTCTACCATTATATTCCCTCAGTGTCTAAAAGAGAGCTTGGTATATTTAGACACTCAATGAAATACTTGTTGAATGAATGAATGAATGAATGAATGGATGCCATCAACATGAAATACAGTAAATGAAGGGATTATTTCTAAGAGTCTTTCATGTCAACATAATCTACATTCATGAATGGAATAACTATTAAAAATACAGCAATAATTTTGTGAGATAAATTTTGTGAAATTTTCTATACCCGGTTGAGCTTGAATTTTAATTACAAATTAAAAGATAAAATATATTGCCCTAAACAGTTTGGCTTAGTGGATAGTCGGCCTGGGGACTGAATGGTCCTGGGTTTGATTCCAGTCAAGGGCATGTGCCTCAGTTGCAGGCTCTGGTCAGGGACCTGGTCGGGGCACTTGCAGGGGGCAACCAATTGATGTGTTTCTCTCACATCGATATTTCTCTCTGGTTCTCCCTCTCTCTTCCACTTTCTCTAAAAATCAATGGAAAAATATCCTTGGGTGGGGATTAAAAAAAGAAAGATAAAATATCTATATATATAAAAAGCCAGTGACCAGAACGCCATAATGACCAGAATGACCAGTTGCTATGATGCCCACTGCAGCCAGCCAATTTGCAGGATCGGGGGGTGGGGCCATCCAACCCTGCCCCTGATTGCCCCCCCATCCCAATGGGGGCGGGGCCAGCTGGCCAACCTCCTGCAGCCCTCCCCCAGGCAGGCCCTGCCCCTGATCACGCTCCCCTACCCCAATAGGGGGTGGGGCCAGCCGGCATATCACTCGAAGCTTCTCCCCCCAGACAGCCTGGCTCTGGTCAGGCCCTGATCGGGGCAGGATGGCCAGCCAACCTCCCGCTGTCTCCTCCTCCTGACAGGCCCTCCCTGATCAGCCAATGGGGGCCGGATCAGCCAGACCCCACCCATGCACAAATTCGTGCACTGGGCCACCAGTATTGAATAATATGGCAAAATGGTTTCTTGTACCTATCTTAACACGAAGTGCCAATAGTTCAGTGTCTAGCTCTAGTCTAGCCAGTTTGGCTCAGTGGATAGAGCGCTGGCCTGCAGACTGAAAAGTCCCAGATTTAATTCCCGTCAAGGGCACATGACCGAGTTGTGGTCTTGATCCCCAGTAGGGGGCGTGCAAGAGGCAGCTGATCAATGATTCTCTCTCATCATTAATATTTCTATCTCTCTCTCCCTCTCCCTTTCTATCTGAAATCAATAAAAATATATTTTAAAAAAACAGTTTAGTATCTAGGTAAATATTTTTTAATTTAAATTCTTTATTGTTTAAAGTATTACATATGTCTCCTTTTCCCCCCTTGACCTCTCTCCGCCCTCTCCCACTCCCCAACACTGGCCAGTGTCTAGGTAATTGAGTCATAATCTATTGTCCTCTTTATATTATAACTTTAAGTGTGCCCTGCCTGAATTAACACAAGATTAATAATGATGTTAGTGGTGATATTGAAAAATATGAAGAAATCCAATTTTTGTTTCTGTTGTGTTTTGTTTCCTAGAGATATGTGTTTGGTACTCCTGCTCCACAATTCAGGTTAACAAATGCAAAATAGTCTCAGGCAGACAAGTAAAACCCATTAAGCAAACTTTCATTTGCATGTTAACAAATTGTAGCTGCGCATTCAGGTGGGACGCATTCTCTAGATGAGCTAAGTTTTACACATAAAAGTGGAGGGGTCTCTATGAAGATATTTCAGATTCCATCAAAAGCATTACTGGGGCAATTTTAAATATTTATGTAATGAAAGAAAAGAAAATCATTCTTCCAACAACCAGCCAATATATACCTCATCCTGCATCAGGTAATCTAAAATATATGTAACAGAAACAATATTAGGGCTTGGCAGCTATGCTAAGTATAGCGGAAGGCCTCCTCATTTTTATAGCAGTTGGTGAATCAATACTGGGGGTTTTAGGGAATGGATTTATTGGACTTGTAAACTGCATTGACTGTGTCAAGAACAAGAAGTTTTCTGTAATTGGCTTGATTCTCATTGGCTTAGCTACTTCGAGAATTTTTCTGATATGGATAATAATTACAGATGGATTTATAAAGATACTCTCTCCATATATGTACTCCTCTGGAAACCTAAAAGAATATATTAGTTATTCATGGATAATTATAAATCACTTAAGTATCTGGTTTGTCTCCAGTCTCAGCATCTTCTATTTCTTGAAGATAGCCAATTTTTCCCACTACATTTTTCTCTGGTTGAAGCATAGAATCAACAGAGTACTTCCTCTTCTGATGGGCTTGATGCTTATTTCATGGTTATTTATTTTCCCACAAATTGTTAAGATTATGAATGAATATAAAATAAATAATGGAAACACAACCCGGCATCACAACGTATCTAAAAGTGAATACATTGCTTACCAAATTTTGCTCAATCTGGGAGTCATTTTCCTCTTTATACTGTGTTTGATTTCATGCCTCTTGTTAATCATTTCTCTTTGGAGACACAACAGGAACATGCAATCGAGTGCCCGAGGTGTCGGAGACCCCAGCACAGAAGCACATGTGAGAGCAATGAAAGTGTTGATATCTTTTATCATCCTCTTGATCTTGCATTTTATAGGCATTGCCATAGAAATAGCATGCTTTTCTGTGCCAGAAAACAAATCGCTGTTTCTTTTTGGTATGGTGACCGCAATCATCTATCCCTGCGGTCACTCATTTCTCCTAATTCTAGGAAACAGCAAGCTAAAGCAGGCTTTCCTGAAGGTACTACGGCCTTTCAATAGCTAAACTAATATTTCAGCTGGGGAAAGGAGAAACCGCTCAGAACTCCATAGTCAGGCCTGGGAAGAAATGGATGCTCAATGAGAATAATCCGGTGAAGAAACGCCTGAAGATATTTCACTTGCACCACATTCTTGCATTGGCTTTAACTGTGTTACAGAACATCACTAAAATCTCCCATAATTATTTCGATGACGTCTCAGGAAATTTCATTCTTCAAGGAGATTGTAACCTCAAATGCAAATTCCGTGGTTCAGTCAGCTCCCTCACCCTGCAACTTCTTCCCACACATCTCCCAGAGGAAAAAAATCAGCATGGAGACTATTCACTGCAAAGGTGATGGTGGTGGAATAAGCATCTGAAACCAGACTCTTCACCGTGCTTTACCTGACTTCCCTGAAGCACTGGCACCCTGTCACCAAGAGACCCAAACAGAAAGAAATAAAAATAAAGAAAGTGATGATCAACCTTGACATTGAAAACATGGATGTGAGAGACAGAGACACGGGTGTTCCTTTGAGTTTGCAATTTTAATTCTTTAAAAGGTTAATTTTATTTTGACTGTTTAAGTCTTAATCTTAATGTGTTTTGTTTGTTTGTTTGTTTTTTACTGGTGTGTGTTTGATGTAGTATCAGTAGTCATATCATCAGGTGTGGTTCTGTTAAAAATAGCTCAGGAAGCTGAGACTACTTGGGGGAAAGGGATCAGAGCACTAATAAAATCAGGTTTTATATCCTTCAAATCTACTGATTTGACATGAAGCAAAATCATGAACCAATTAGAGTCAAGGAAAGAAGCTGCTAGAAGGATACATCCAAAGGACTCCACATAGTCACTGAGTTATGCCAAGAACACAAACTGACTCCGGATAGAATCAGTGTGAAGGATGAACTATTCTGCTTTAGGATTTTTTTTTACACACACACATATATTCATATGCACAAACTTGCACTCAAAGACATATTTCAAATGCTGATTATTAAAGTAAATATTTATATCCAAACCAGGATGTGAACCAAGTGGACTTATTTTGGCAACTTGCAAAAGTTCATTGCCTTATACTTACAACCTGTTGCCTGGAAGATTTCTAAATATAAAGGCTTAATTTATTTAATAAATATTTTTAAACACTAACTCATGTGCTGGTGATATAATACTAAACAAGATCTCAGTATAATGGGTAAGATATTCTAGTAGAAAAACAAATAAGTAGAAAACAATAACTTAATTATATTTGTTTTGGGGAGAGAAAAACAAAAGTATGCTAAGCAAATAACCTGACTTGGTCCTGAGAGTAGAAATGATGCATTTTACAGAATTATTAGCAAATGGTATAAATTTTTAGAAATTATTTATTTGTTTTCCTTTTATTTTTTTCATGCCTATAGTTCTCATCAATTATGTGACACTTTACATATTAACATCACGCTACATACATGTTCTGATCTTTACCTTTATTTGCTGTTTTGTAAATAACTTAGTTCATGGTGTTTGTGAAAATAAAGTGGTAATTTATATGAACTCAAATCTATATGTTTCCCTTTATGATTACTTATACTGCTATTTTTGCAAATTTTGGCTTAGTACATGTTCTTTTTATCAATAAAACTCCATTTTTTCTGATAAAATAATATGGTTTATTGCACCTAAAGTTTAAAAAAACACATGAAGGCCTGAAGGAGAAGTTATGTATATTCGTAACACTCAACTAATTGTTAACATGTTTCTACATTGATTTCAAAATAAATTTCACGATAGATATAGGAAGGTATGTTGATTAAAAAGCTGTTTTGATTACATCTACACTAATAAAAGAGAAACATGCAAATTGATGTCACTCTGCTACACCCACAAGCCACGCCCACCAGCCAATCAGGAGAGAGTATGCAAATTAACCCAACCAAGATGGCCATGGCCACAGAGCTGGAGTGAGCAGGAGGCTTGGGTTGCCCCCGGCAATGGAGGAAGCCAAGCTTCCCGCCTGCCCTGGCCAGCCCTGGCCTCCACTCAAGGCTACAAAGTTTCAATTATAAAAGATAAATAAATCCCAGAT